GGAGGAGGAGCAGGACCAGGACCAGGACCAGGACCAGGAGCAGGAGCAGGAGCAGGAGCAGGAGGAGGAGGCGGAGGAGGAGGAGGAGGCGGAGGCGGAGGAGGAGGAGGAGGAAGAGGCGGAGGAAGAGGAGGAGGAGGAGGAGGAGGAGGAGGAGGAGGAGGAGGAGGAGGAGGAGGAGGAGGAGAAGCATAATAATAAGAGTAAGCCTGATGACACTAAGAATACTAGTAGCATTAGTAAGAATACTATTTCTAGTACTATTACGCATCATAAGCATATTCACTTCATAACAATGATCAGACTCAGAAAGCCAATATGAATAGTAATACGAACAGTCATAATATTGGAAGGAGCAAGGAGCTACTAACAATGACGATAAGAATAATGCGACCACTAGTCCTACTAGTAATAAGGATAATAGACACACTACAATCAACAATACTAATACTAGTAATAAGTACTAGTCGTAGTAATAATAAGGATAATATAAATAAAACCAATACTAATCCTAATCCAACTACTAATACTACTACGAATACTAATGCTAACTGCTACCAGGAGGAACAACCATAATACTATCATTGATAATAATACGACTACTAATAATATGAACAATACAGACGAGTCAGACTAATATTAATAAGAATAATAATGCGAATACGCAAGATAATGCTGATACTCGTAATGCTAAAAATACCAATATTAATAATCATAATGATGCGAGTGATACTATTAGCAACCATATTAATACTCGTAATATTAGTGCTGCTACACATACTGCGAATAAGACTAATAATCATACTAATAATAAGAAGAAGAGAATGAGGAGGAGGAGGAGGAGGAGGAGGAGGAGGAGGAGGAGGAGGAGGAGGAGGAGGAGGAGGACCCCTCCCCATCGTACTTATGGTGCTGGCGGTGGAAAGAAGCCCACCAGAGGAAGTTCGCGTTCAGCAGCCCCAAGCTCCTGGAGTGGGCGCGGGGCCCCCGCGGGCGCGCGCTGCGGCTGCAGCTGTACGTGCACGGCGGCCAGGTGAGCGGCGGAGGAAAAAACGGGGTCGGCTGCGCGGACGTCCGCGCGTAAGCTGCCCACATGAAATTCTAAGCACGGGTGTTTCCCGCGGTTTCAACCTCACCACCCGCAGCATCGTCGTCATCGTCTTCGTCATCCACAATTTCAAACTCATCATCCATCGTGCCGCGCTGGTCGCCCGCGTCAGCCACCGCGTGAGGTCGCTGTGCCATCTCGCGCTAGGCCTGGCTTCTGCCAGTCGCTCAGGTGCTCCTGGCCGGGGGCAACGGCACCAGCGTCCTGCCGGACCAGCTGTCCACCTACCTGCAGGTGGTCATCGGGGACACCGTCGTGGCGTCCCAGCGCGAGCGGGCCGTGCCCGGGCGCTCGCCTGCCTTCAGGTACGTGGAGGAGTTCGACCTCCGCCTGCCGCAGGGGTCGCGCCTGGAGGTGCGCGTGATGTGCCGCGCCGCCTGCGGGTCGCAGGCGCAGGATGTCGAGATCGGGCGCACGGTGGTCGACGTCGCGGACCGCTGGGACTCGGAGTTCATCCGCTCAAAGGATCGGGGCCTCACAGACGGGGTGCGTGCAGATGGGGTCGGAGGATCGCGCTGCACCGCCGATGCATCGGCGCTGCGGCTCCATGTGGAGACCGATTTTCTCCTCGCCGACATCGCCGATGCATCCCCGACGTCCGTCGCTGGTGCACTGCCAGTGCATCGCCGATGCATCGCCCTCCGACCCCATCTTCTCTGACCCTGTCTGGGAGGCCTCTCTAAAGGATGAGCCGAGGCCCCACTGGGGCAAAAGCGACGGCGGGGGGGGGGCCTGGCCCAGGGTGGGAAGCGTAGACCCGCAACCGCCCGCTCACCGCCCATGCGGCTTCGCCATCCAGGGCCTGTCGCCGGTCTGTCGGCGAGGTGTCGCCGACTCCGAGTCAATGCCCCCCCTACTGAGCCAGCCCCCCCCGTATCGCTCCTCATCAGGCCCGACCCCGCCGACCCGGAGACCCCGCTGGACAGGGCGGGCCTGAGGGAGACGCGCACCCTCTGGGACCACGCCTCGCCGCACGGGCTCGCGGTGGGCTCCCTCCAAATGTGGATTCGCGCGGTCGACCCCGCCGACGACGAGCAGATGAAGAAGTATTGCCTCGCCGGCGCCAGGCCGGACCAGCTGTGGCCAGACTGCGCCGTCCAGGCTCCTCGACGGCACGCAAGATGGGGGCCCTTCGCCAGAGTGACCTTTGGCGCAGGAGTCAACCTCGGCTGACTCAGAGGCGGATCTCCAGATCGCTGAGTGCGATGAGTCAGCATCGGCTTGCGCGCTTGGGTTTGCCCCCCCCTCCTCCCCCACCCCCCGCCCCCAAAAGCTGCGCGCCAAGGTCACTTTTGCCTCTGGGTACTCTTGCGCGCTAGCCGACAGGTCGATCCCAGCGAGCTCCGGGTGACTTTGAGGGAGGTGACTTGGAGCCAAAGCCGTGCGTTTGCGGTAGGCTCGCGCCTCGTTAACGCGCCGGCGACGCTGGCGAGGGCGTTCAAGGTTGAACGCCGCCGATTGGCCAGAGTCGGCCGATACCGAACGATCTGCGCTATCGGAAAACCGAGATCGCTGAGGGTTGAACGGTCCACGCGGTGCCAGAAGCCAGCGCACAAGTCGGCACGGCACGAACCTGCCGTACGTCGCCTTCGCCTCCATTGGCCCTCTCCACGCACAGTGGGGACGCGCATGAAGAATCCGTGTGTACGTACAAGGCCAGGGTGCCCTGAGCTCCTTGCGCTCAAGAGGGCCAGGGTGCCCTGAGCTCCTTGGGCCCAAGAGGGCCCATGACGAGGCCGCTCCGGCCTCTCGGGCCTCGAACGCGTCGATGCCCTCAGGCCGTAAGCGTCTGGGCTTCCTGCGGAGACTTCTTGTGGCCGAGGCGCCGCCGCACTCCTTCCATCAAAGTCCTCCCTCCTCCTCCTCCTCCTCCTCCTCCTCTTCCTCCTCCTGGGCCTCCTCCTCCTCCTCCTCCTCCTCCTCCTGCTCCTCCTTGCGTCCAGACACGCCAGAATCCAGAGGCTACGGCGTCACTCACCCGCCTGCTCTGAGCCAGGCCCCGACGCTTGTCCGCAGCGGTGTTCGTGGTTCGTTCGTTCCCCCGCTCGCCCTCCTGCCAGACGGCAATTCGGTTCGTGTCCTGTCGACGCGGCGGCGTCCATAGCGCGGGCTTTCAAGGCTGAACGCCACCAGTGACTCGTCGGCCGATGCCGAGCGATCCGCGCTATCGGAAAGCCGCGATCGGTCAAGGTCAGGAACTACCGCCGACGTCGTCACGACATGAGCCTGCCGTAGGTGGGCTCGCTCTGCTCCCCAGGTGAGTGGCCTGAGCGTTCCGAGCGGCGGCATGGACGTCGTCGCCACCGTGGCGGTGTCGGCGCCGTGCTACACAGAGGCTCACCACAGGCCGTGGTCGCAGGCCGCCAGAAGCCCTGCTTCCCCCTCTTCTCCTCCCGCTGCTACTCCTCCTCCTCCGCAGGGCAGGGGCAAAGTGATTCGGTAGGATAACGGTTGGTCCCGTCGTTTCGACCCCACGGGCACGCGCCATAGCCAAGTCCGCAGATCCCTTTCCCTCGATTTTCTGTCTTATTTAGGTGGCAAGAGCAGAGTGCCTGAACGCTAGCTTTCATAGTACCGTCAGGTGTTTCAGAGACCGCTTCGGTGAGCGCCCAACTCAACTCAACTCCTCCTACGCTGCAGGCTACAGACGTGCACTTCAACCTCGACGGCCCCCTGGGCACAGCCGAGTTCAACTGGAGGGCGGTCTTCGATCTCAGAAGCTCCGTGGCCGACGTTGTGCTCTACATCAGCCTGTACGACCGCCGCCGCGGCATCTGCATCGGCGAGTCCCAGCTGGCGCTCTCCCACGCCTTCGTCGAGACCACGGTGATCAGGGACCAGGCGGAAGACCTCGTGTGCGCAGAGCTCGAGCAGCTGGACCTCTGCGCCGTCGACGGCAAGCGCAGGGGCCACGTGCGTTGCTCGCTGGTCCTACTGTCCGCAGCCCTGGCGGCGAGGTGCCCGGCCGCCCCGGGGCGAGAGAAGGTCGGCGTGTCAGTCGGTCGAGCCTGGCACCCACAGTTGTCGTCGAAAAAGGAAAGCACATGACAGAGAGAAAGCAGCAATGTTATCACGAAGTGCAAGTATTCTATCTCCTGTTACCATGACCAAAGCATCAGAGATAGCACTTGCGCGCGCCACAGGGAGGACGAGGAGGAGGAGGAGGAGGAGGAGAAGGATGAGGAGGAGGAGGAGGATGAGGTGGAGGGAAGAGGAGGAGGAGGGAGGAGGGAGGAGGCGGAGGAGGAGGAGGAGGAGGAGGAGGAGGAGGAGGAGGAGGAGGAGAGGAGGAGGAGGAGGAGGAGGAGGAGGAGGAGGAGGAGGAGGAGGAGGAGGAGGAGGAGAGGAGGAGGAGGAAGGAGGAGGAGCGGAGGAGGAGGGGAAGGAGAAGGAGGAGGAGGAGGAGGAGGAGGAGGAGGAGGAGGAGGAGGAGGAGGAGGAGGAGGAGGAGGGCAGGGGGCAGGAGGGAAGAGGAAGGAGGGACGGGGAGAGCGAGGAGGACGCCGGAAGCAGCTGGAGCTGGTGCTCGGGCGAACGCGAGAAGATATTGGAAGCCCATGGCTGTCTGCGCCTCCCCCGCATGCTCCTCAGACCCCCTCGAGTAATGAAAAAATCATGACGGTAGGTTTTCTGTCCTTCTCAGCATTTGGGGGCCCCCGCTGGGCCTCGGGACCGTCAAAAAACGACTCAGGATGAGAAACCAGTCGCGGGTAATGGGTCGAGACCTCTGGGGGTCGACGTTATGAAAAAATCATGACGTCGGGGGCCGGGGTCTTGGGCCCCCGTACGGTAGGTTCGCGTCGTGTCGACCGGCGGCGACCCCACCGCGTGCGTTCAAAGTTGAACGCCGCCTGTAGCTCAGAGTCGGCCCGTCGTTGAACGATCCGGCGTTCACGGAACGGCCGACCGTTCAAGCTCGAGCGATCCCCGCGGTGCCAGGGACCACGGTCAGGGTCGACGCGACGCGAACTTGGTGCAGCCTGGCCGCCCTTGTGAAGGTCGACGTGGACCCTTGCCTTCTCGAGGCCTCGATCGGCAGCCTGAAGGAGGTTCAGGAGGGAAAAACACAGACACAATTAATTGCCGATTCCCCAGAAAATATGGGAAAATATGGGAAGTGGGGGGGAAGACGAAAACCTAGAAAACATGGGAAAATCGGGGAATCCGATTATTTGTGTGCATTTATTTGTGTGTCCCAGGGACCCTTCAGAGGTGCCGGCGGTGCTCGGCGAGCACCTCGCGCAGCCGCCGCGCGGCCGGAGGCGGCTGGATGTCGCCGCCTCGCGGGCGGCGTCGCTGAAGCGCCGCCCGCGCGCCCTCACCGGCATGGCGGCGCTCCTTCTGCCGGCAATAGTGGTCAGCGCCCTTCTCCACCACAGGCGCCAGGGTCCATCTCCAGGGGAGCGAAGGAGGACCAAAAACATAAAACTCGGAGGTCCGCACGGGTTCCTCGGATCCGCGCTGGGCCCCCGTGGCGGCGCCTCCGGCGCCGCCGGTGGCGAGCTCCGCGCGCCAGGGGCCCAGCGCCGATCCGAGAAATCCGCGCGGACCTGCGAGTTTTTCTGCTTGTGCCATTCTTCGTTCCCCTGATTTCGATCCGATCGATGCGATTCGATGTCGACCGCGGCCGGCCCGATCCGATTCGGTTCCGAGATTCCGACGATGCGGTGCTGCCCGATGCTTGCACGGCGCTGCCGTGCATTCTGGTGCGGCCTATCCGAGTCGATTTCGATTCCGTGCCGGTGCAGCCGGATCCGATGCTCTTATCGATTCCATCTCATGCTTCAGGAGGGAGAAAAATCACATAGACACAATTAATCGTCGATTCCCCAGAAAATATGAGAAAATATGGGAAGTGTGGGGGGAAGACAAAAGCCCAGAAAATATGGGAAAATACGGGGAATCCGATTATTCGTGTGTATTTATTTGTGTGTCCCAGGGCCCCTTCAATGCTGACTGATCCTGCCAGCCACGAGCAGGTGGCCTGGGGGTGAGGGGCCAGCCCTGCAGGAGCATCCCAGCCTTCCTTTGTATTGTCGGTCTGATCGAGAAGGGTTCGGAAAGAGTGGGGACGAGGAGCGACGGCAGTTCCAGTCTGTTTACAACAGGGCTCGCTGTCGGCGCCGCCGCGGACGTTGTCCGTTTGAGACAGTGGGTCGCCTGCCCAACGATTTTGGACACCATTATCCAAGAAGGCTTGCATATAGGAGTCCTAGCTCAATGCGTGGAGAACTTGTCCACTGTCCCCTCATCTCTTTATTTTGACCCCCACATTCGTACAACTATCCTCGTGGCTTCCTCAGCCATCCGCATGGCTTCGGCCAAGCTATCCGCATGGCTTCCTCTACTATCCGCATGGCTTCGTCTGCTGAACTAGGGTAGAAGAGAGAAGAGTTTATGAGAGTAGAGTAGAGTCGAAATAGAGTAGATCCGAGTAGAGTAGAGTAGGAGTAGAGTACAGTAGAGTAGAGTCGACTGGGATAGGAGTAGGAGTAGGAGTTGGAGTCAAGCTAGCCAGCTCGAGCGAGTCAAGCATGGCATGCCCAGTCCCACCCGCCCTCCCACAACATAAGAAGCAAAGCTGGCACAACTGGGGGCCGAAGTCACACCGGCCAGCCGGTTTGGTACAGCTGATGCGGCCGCGATGGCGGTTGCCGACGGGAACTGGCGAGCGCGTGTTGAATGCCGCGCACGCATTGCCAGACGAGTCGAGAATGGCCCGGTACACCGCAGGAAGCCAGAGGTGGCCGGAGGAAGCCCGACGGTCTGACAGGACACCCCAAAGCATTTTTGTGAAAAAGCATTGGGTTTTTGATGTTTTTATGTTGAAATGCTTGCAAACACACGGTGTTCGGTAGGATTCTGACATGAACGCGCGAGTGTGCTCTTTGTTGTATTTTTTGCACAGGATTCGCGGCCTGGGTGCATGACAGAGCATCGCGAGTGCACCGCGCGATGACGTGAAATCGCTGGATTTGACAGAATTCTTAAGATTCCGATGGTTTTCCTATGATTTCAGATTTCAGAAAGAGAGCCCGGGCAGGAAATTGTAGAATTTTTGTGAAAAAGCATTGGGTTTTTGATGTTTTTATGTTGAAATGCTTGCAAACACAGGGTGTTCGGTAGGATTCTGACATGAACGCGCGCGTGTGCTCTTTGTGGTATTTTGTGCAATGGATTATCGCCGTGGACGACAGGACGTCCATGTCGAGAGGAAAAAATAAGAAACATGTTGATTTTGTATTGTTTTTTACAAGTTAGGATGGGACCCCCCGGATGCGGCCCCTAATGGCCGGCCTGAGGGGGGAGTAGGAGTATATTCTAATAAGGAATAAGGATAGGAGTAGGAGTAGGAGTAGGAGTAGGAGTAGGAGTCAAGTTGGCCAGGTCGAGCGAGTCAGAGGGCCCTGCCCATTCCCACCCTCCCTCTCACGACATGAGAATCCGGTGTGGCACGCCTTGATCTTGGGATTGGAACGCGTTCCCACCTCGCACACGGAAGGCGCTCGCGCGCGGCCCCGCTTTCGACGCCTTGGCGGAGGGAAACCTACGCGGGCCGTGCATGGGGGGGGGGCGGGAAACCTTCGGATGGGCGCGGCGAAGACGAGGCATGCGCCGCGCTGACACGGCACTGCCACTTTCACTCGCAAGCGTCGCGGCGCTGGGGCATGTCGCCCGCTCTCGCGCGGCCCCGCTGCCGCTTCTTTTCCATGCGCTTCGGCGAACGAACCATGTGCCGCGCCCGCGCGGGACCCCACTTCCGAGCGACATCAGGGCTGGACCTAAACGCTGTTTTGCTGGACTTCGGCTGTGTTTTGTTTTTCGTTTTGGCAGGGAGGTACAGGACAACAGGTAGAGCAAAACGAAACGCAAAACGAAAACAACACGGAACACAACGTCTAGGTCCAGCCCTGCTTCCAAGCGACATGAGTATTGGGCTTGCGCGACGGCGAGGGGTTGTCCATTCGCGCAGCCCCCCCTTGAAATTTGCGAGTGGCAACTATGCGCCCTGCCGAGGCGGGAGCGCCATGTTCAAGCGAAGTCTGCGGCGTCGAGGCGAGAGCGGCATTTTCGTCCGCTCGGGCGTCGGAGAGTAGACCCAAGTCGGAGTTGAGGCTATCGGCATGGCTTTGTCTGCTAGGGTGGAGTGGAGTAGAGTAGAGTAGAGGAGTGCCTATTTGAGGGGAAGAGAGTAGGAGGGGAGTAGAGTAGAGAAGAGTAACACAGAAAGGGAAACTGAGTAGGGTGGAGTGGGGTAGAGTAAGGTATGATTGAGTAGGAGTAGAGTTGGGTAAGCTAGGGGTCGTCAAACTGTCCGCATGGTTTCCTCTGCTATCCGCACGGCTTCGCCCATACTATCCGCATGGCTCCCCTTGCTTTCGGAATGGGCTCGTCTTTTGGACTAGAGCATAGGAGAATCCATTCGTGTAGAGCAGAGTCACGTTAGCCAGGTCGAGCGAGTTAGAGGGCCCCGCCAATTCCCACCCTCCCTCTCACGACATAAGAACTGACTGTGGTACAACTTGATCTTGGGATTGGAACGCGTTCCCCGACCCCGCTTTCGACTGCAGGGGGAAACCTACGCGGGCCGTGCATGGGGTGGGGGCGGCAAATCTTCGGATGGGCGCGGCGACGACGAAGCATGCGCCGCGCTGACACGGCACTGCCACTTTCACTCACAAACGTCGCGGCGCTTGGGCGAGGGCGGCATTGCGCCCGCTCTCGTGCGGCCCCGTTGCCGCTGTCGCTTTGGTGCGCTTCGGCGAACGAGCCATGAGCCGCGCCTGCGCGGGACTCCACTTCCGAGCGAAACTCGCACGGAGCTTGGGCAAGGGCGACGCGCAGCCCACTCGCAGGGCCCCCCCCCCCCCACGATTGGCGAAGGAGCCGTACGCGCCCCGCTGAAGCGGGAGCGCTGCTTTCAGGCCGAATCGACGCAGCGCCGAGGTGAGAGCGACATTTTCGCCAGCCCGCGCGTGTGCGAAGCCGCGTGCGGAAGGTGTACGCCGCGCCCAAGCGGGAGCCCACTTCTCTGGACAATTGAGCGCGGCGCCGAGGCGAAATCGACATTGTGGCCTGTCGCCGCGCATGTTGCAACGTGGATGACACAATGCCCATGTTCAAACGAAATGCATGGATGTTGTTCGGTATCGTTTAACCGATCCCCTATCCCCGTCCCCATCCCCTTCGAGACCCCCACCAAATTGCCCCCCCCCCCCCCCCCCCAGTTGGGGATACACACCTTCGAAACCCGAAGGGAACGACCTACATCCCCATCTAGCGGGGTAAATCGGCTAGTGGGGCCCAGGCCACGTCGCTGGGGATGGGGATCGGCTAAACGATGCTCAGTTGTATTGTTGTGTTGGCAGGTAGGATGTGGCCACCCGGATGGGGATGCCATCGGCCCGCCATTGTGGCAGAGTGGGAGTCTATTCCAAATCGGAATCATGACCGAGCAAAGTTCGAGTAGAGTTAGAGTAGAGCAGAGTAGAGTAGAGTAGAAGCATAGGCTATCCGCATGGCTTCGTCTGCTAGAGTGGGGATGATAATAGTAGATGAGAGTGCATTCGGGTAGAGTAGAGTCGGAGTACCGTCAAGTGTAGTAGAGTCGGTTAGGGTTCGTCAAACAATCCGTTCGGCTTCCTCTGCTATCCGCATGGCCTCGTCTGATAGTGCAGAGAGGAGTGAACTAGCGGAGAGTCTGTGAGAGTAGAGTAGGGGTAGAGTAGAGCAGAGGAGGAGAATAGTAGAGTCGAACAGAGCAGAGCAGAGCACAATAGAGTAGAGTAGAGTAGGAGTAGGAGGGTGGAGCAGAGTATGTTGGGGTGTGGTAGCGTAGGGTAGAGTAGAGTAGATGCGAGCAGAGAAGAGTAGAGCAGAGTAGAGTCGAGTCGAGTAGGGTCGAGGGTCGAGAAGAGTCGCGTATAATAGCATAGAGTGGATAAAGTAGAATCGAGTAGAGTAGAGTGGGGTAGAATAGAGTAGAGTGGAGTAGAGTAGGGAAGGGAAAGTCGAGTAAAGTAGAGAATATTAGCGTAGCGTAGAGTAGAGTAGTATGGAGCAGTGTAGCGTGTAGAAGAGAAGCGTGCAGTAGGGTAGCGTAGCGTGGCGAGCAGTAGCGCAGCGCAGCGTCGAGAGGAGTAGAGTAGGGTAGGGTGGACGTGTCTACTTGGAGTCAACGCTTGCCGAGATTTGCTGCCGGGCATCTTGCCAAAAGCCTTGCCGTACCCGTTCTGGGCCTCCAGGCCGCCCCTTTCCGAGGCGCCTCCCCGCCCTCTGGAGGCCAGCCCCCTCGTCTCTGGCTGGCTTCTTTAGGCGTCGCTCGGTCGTGTGCATTTTCCCCCACGCGCTCGGGGCGTGACCCGTCCCCCTGAGCGGCTCGCTCCCTCCGCCCCCTCTTTCGGCCGCGTCCTTGCCCCTCCCCCTCCTGCATGGAGGCACACTTCGCTCTGACCGCACCCCTGTTTGGGCCTTTCCGCTAGCGCAGACGACCCCTGCCTCGCCGCCGACGCACCAAGTGCATTTTTCCTCGGCGAGGACCATCGAGGAACATTTGGGATCATCTGGCCAAGAAAAAAGCGCACGCACGAGACCGAACAGTGCACGAGGAGTGGACGTCCGAGCGCTGGCGAGAGCTGCTCTGCCGCCAGAGGCGCTCGCCGCCGGCAAGCTGCAGAGCCTTCACGTCGCCAGGACCGGCCTCGCTTCCACCCCGCCGTTCCTGGACGACGCCCTTCGCGTCGCTCGCCCCCTCGCTCTCCGCCCCCGCGGCGCCGCTGAGGGTGGCGCTGGGCTGAGCTGGCGCCGGCTGTGCCTCTCCTGTCACGGGCAACGTTAGGGGTGGGACACGGTCAGGATCGTTGGCCCAGCTTCGGCAGTAAGTCATGGGATCCTGGTGTGTCCTCGAGATGCCGTCTTCAGAGTGCATCTGCGTACGCTGGGGTCGGCTAGCCGATGAGAGAGCGACAATTCGGCGTCGATTCGCGTTGGTTTACCGTCTCCTAGCGTCGTAGCGTCGGTTAGCGTCGACTCGAGAGAGCGGAAATATGTTGGGGGCGTTGGTTAAGGAATGTGCCCAGGAGGCTCCAGACCCGCGGACTCCTTACCTGGTCAGGGCGGCGGTGATCTCCATGGTCAGACCCCACTTGGTGTGCCACCAGCTTCCAGACCCTGGATCTCTTAGCAAAAGGGTTCCTTCTCCAATGCCCTCGCCACAGTGCCACAGTGGCACGCGAGGGTCCCATGAGTTGCCGCAGAGGCTTGGCGTGTCGCGCCGCCGGCTCTGGCCCACCACGCCTCGGTTCGGCGCGCTGCCCACGCGTCGGTCCCCAGGCGTCGAAGCCCCGAGGCTTTCCCCCAGCCTTCCACTCCGCGGAGCGGAGCGATGCGCTATCAGCGGTGGAGGAGGAGGAGGAGGAGGAGGAGGAGGAGGAGGAGGAGGAGGAGGAGGAGGAGGAGGAGGAGGGAGGAGGGGAGGAGGAGGAGGAGGAGGAGGAGGAGGAGGAGGGGAGGAGGAGGAGGAGGAGGAGGAGGAGGAGGAGGAGGAGGAGGAGGAGGAGGAGGAGGAGGAGGAGGGTGTCGCTGGGGCCGCCGCCGCGACACGTTCCGCAAAAGTTCCCGACCGTAGGCTCGGGGGTGCATGCATCGACCCCCAATTGCCCACTCACGCCGACAGGGGGCCCGATGGCCCACCCCGCCCAGGAGCGTGCTCGATGTCCCCCCCCCTCCTCCCGAGCTGGCCCCCCCTTTCGTTCCCCCTCACTCTCCAGCAGCCTGCCGCATCGCAGCCCGAGAAGAGATGCACGGACGCGATTCGTGACAGCTCGGCGGCGTGCCGCGGGGGGGCAGTGCCACGGCGGGGGGTGGCCCTCAGAGAAGGCCCCTGGCCCCTCGAGGCAGGCGTTCAGTGGAGACCCATGCCAAGAAGTACCCTGCCTGCCTCCAGGGTGCCCCTTGGTTTCTCTTGGTGCTCGATGGCTTTTTGCCGTGGAAGGCGTGGCGTGCCCGCGCCAAACATCGATGGACGTCCTGGGGTCTCAGGGTTGGGTTTCTTGCGGAAGGTTTCTTGTGGACTGGCCTCCACTGCAGTTTTCGGGCTTCGGGGCTCCTCACTGGGCCTCGGGCCTGTCGAGGAGCGGCCCAGGATGAAGAGCCGGCCCTGGGGAGGGGTCCAGACCTCGGGGGGTCCAGGTCGTGTCAACAATCACGACGTCGGGGGGCCTGGGGCCCGCGCTCGGCTTCTCAACGCCCGCCGCTCCTGCACCCTCGCGAGCGGCCACCGTCTTTCGGGCCGGACGGGAGCCGGAGCGCATGGGAAGGGGGAGGCTGGAGAGGGTCGGGGCGAGAGAGGGGTTCGAGGCCTGATGCTTTGGGGCGCGTGCTCGTCGGTGCTCGGCGGTTTTCCAGCCCCGAGGCAGGGCTCGTTTCGATTCCTCCGATTCGGTTTGATTCGACTTCGATGGCTTCCGATTCCGAGTCGATTCGGCTTGGGATTCCGATTTGGGCTCCGACGTCTCATTGGAGGCATACTGGCCTGCCGATGTCCGCCGATTGGGCTTTTCCCGACTTGGCTGCCGACTTCCGCCGATCCGATTCATTTCGATCGCCGATCCGACTTATCGGTTCGATTCTGGGATCTCCTGCGAGGTGCTTTGCCAGCAGCTGCGCCGCGGCGAGGTCGTCTTCCGGGGGGATGGGGCCTCGGAGCGGGGCGGGACGGAGAGGGGCGGGACGGAGAGGGGAGAAGGGCGGGGTGGAGAGGGATTCGAGGTTCGAGGCCTCATGTTTTCGGGCGCGTGCTCGTCGGTGCTCGGCGGTTTTTCAGCCTTAAGTCGGGCCTGTCCCTCTACAGGAGGAATTATCCCAGTGCGACCCTACCTAGGAGTTGGAGCCCCTAGGAAAGCAGCATTAGTAGTAACAGAAAAGCTAAGCTAAAGCTAAGATAAAACTAAGCTAAAGCTATGCTAAAGCTAAGCTAAAGTTAAGCTAAAACTAAGTTAAAGCTAAGCTAAAGCTAAGCTACAGCTAAGCTAAAGCTAAGATAAAGCTAAGCTAAAGCTAAGCTAAAGCTAAGCTAAATCTAAGCTAACGCTAATCTAGAGCTAAGCTAAAGCTAAGCTAGAGCTAAGCTGAAGCTAAGCTAAAGCTAAGCTGAAGCTAAGCTGAAGCTAAGCTGAAGCTAAGCTGAAGCTAAGCTAGAGCTAAGCTAAAGCTAAGCTGAAGCTAAGCTGACGCTAAGCTAGAGCTAAGCTAAAGCTGAGCTGAAGCTAAGCTGAAGCTAAACTGAAGCTAAGCTGACGCTAAGCTAGAGCAAAGCTAAAGCTATGCTGAAGCTAAGCTAAAGCTAAGCTAGAGCTAAGCTAAAGTTAAGCTGAAGCTAAGCTAACGCTAAGCTAACGCTAAGCTAGAGCTAAACTAAAGCTAAGCTAAAGCTAAGCTGAAGCTAAGCTAGAGCTAAGCTAGAGCTAAGCTAGAGCTAAGCTAGAGCTAAGCTGAAGCTAAGCTGAAGCTAAGCTGAAGCTAAGCTAGAGCTAAGCTAGAGCTAAACTAGAGCTAAGCTGAAGCTAAGCTGAAGCTAAGTTAAAGCTAAGCTGAAGCTAAGCTAAAGCTAAGCTAAAGCTAAGCTAAAGCTAAGCTAAAACTAAGCTAAAGCTAAGCTAAAGCTAAGCTAAAGCTAAGCTGAAGCTAAGCTAAGCTGGGTGAACCCAGGGGGCGCGACTGGGGGAACCGCGGGGCGGGGACTGTGGGAACCGCCCGGGGCGCTTTACACTGCCCAGCCCCTTTAAGCTAAGAGAGTAAGAACCCTCTAGGCAGAGCCTAGGTAGGGAATATTCAAAAAATAGTAAAAAATACTCAGGGGACGATTTCTTCACTATTCTAGAGCATCGTTGGAGCATTTTTTGACTTTTTTTATTTTTCGCCCAAAATCCGCCTGTAGGGGGACACGCCCGACCCAATTCCAGCCCCGGTGCTTTTCCAGCAGCTGCGCCGCGGCGAGGTCGTGTTCCGGGGGGGAGGGGCCCGGGGCGCCCCGAGCGGCCGCCGGAGGCCCGAGTTCTAGGACACACGCAGTCCAGGCGTCGAAGATCGGCCGGGTCGGAGGGGGAGGGGGAGGGGGAGGAGGGGGAGGGGGAGGGGGAGGGAGAGGAGGAGGAGGGAGGAGGGAGCGAGGAGGAGGGAGGAGGAGGAAGGAATTGGGAGGAGGAGGGGAGGAGGAGGAGGAGGAGGAGGGGGAGGAGGCGAGGAGGAGGAGAGGAGGAGGAGGAGGAGGGGATTTGGAAAGGGGGGGTACGATATTGGCTGCGCGCCGCTGGCTTGGTCTCCGCCTCCTGGCGCTTTTCTCGATGCGTTGGCGCCTGCAGCGCCAGGAGGCGCTGGGGAGATGGGCTAGACGTGAGCAGATTCGCCAACCCCTCCTTGACTACCCCCCGTCATCAGAGGAGTAAGACTCTGCACGAACGAAATGGGCACGGAAAGAATGGGTACGATGCCCAACAGAGGATCTTGCTCATTTTGAACAGGACTCGCTGTCCACGCCGCCGCGGCCTGTGTCCATTCGAGACAGAAGGCCGCCCGCCCAACAGAGGCCGCTGTTGGTTTGGGACAACACTTGTTGTTGGGCATTGTACCCATTCTTTCCGTGCCCATTTCCGGGCGTCCAAAAAGACTTCGTGACGACGATTCGCCCCAAGATCTCTGAGATGTCCAGGATTTCCAGGAGATTTCCTGCTGCTTCGCACGGGCTGCAGAAGCGAGGGCCGCCGGCCACTCCAGATTCTCGAAGCGTATCCTGAGCCAGTCGTGTCATGGCACCATTTTCGTCCTGCTTTCGTCCGGCCCGCGACTTTCCTCCCTCCTCCCTCCCCGCCGCAATTCGCTCCTCCGCCAGTGCTGGCCTCGGCAGTGCCCTCACGCCTGCAGCCGCCATCGCAGTCCGGTTGACTTGCGCTGGGGCTCCCCGGCATCGAAGAAGCCGCCGCCGGAAGTCCGGAATAGCACGACAAGAAGGAACCGATGCAAGTCCTCCGCGAACCGACGCGGCGCTCCGTCGGCTCCTTGCGCCTGCGCCTGCCGCGGGCACTTCTCACCTTGTCTACCCTTGGCCGGGGACGCACGCAGCCAGAAGCCCGCAGAATCACCGGAGGGATCGCCTGCGCGTACGCGATTGCAAAGAGCTACATTACGCCCGCTCACGCCATCACGACAAGGAAATCAGAAAGCGCCATACACGACGTCGGCCTGCCTCCGCCCACTCCCTCCCCTTCCTACCATCATGCTAATCTCCTCTCTCTCCTCTCCTTCTGCTTGCTCTCCCTACTCTTGCCTTTCTCTGCTCTCCCTTCCTCCCTCTCAGTTCCTCTCCTCTCTGTTCTGCTGCTCTTGCCCTACTCTACTCCTTTCCTACTCTGCTCTACTGCGCTCCTTCACCTCCCCTCTCTCTCCTCTCCCTCTCCTCTCCTCTCCTTTTTCTCCTTCTCCTCTCCTCTCTCTCATCTCCTCTCTCGCCTCTCCTCTCTGCTCCTCTCCTCATCTCCTCTCCTCTCCTCTCCTGCCTCCTCTCCTCTCTCTCCTTCCTCTCCTCTC